TATATATATATATACCTCGCCGGGTGTTGCGTTAGCTGGCTGAGTGCCGCTATGGCCGTGGGCGAAGGAGTCGTCCCCAGTCAGTGATGTATTTAACCAAGTAAGGTTATATCTAAATCTAATATACTTCTGGAAGCGAAGACTAGCTCGAGGGTCTGGGTAGCGTAACTGGTAAGCGCGCCGCACGGCAAGCGGAGGCTGCGGGTTCGAGTCCCGCCCCGGGCCAGTTCTTTTATTCCAGAAGATTCTAAATTTATTTATTGATTTATTTATTTAATTATTAATTTACTTAAGAGATGGCGCCTAACGTCTACCTCTAGTGTCAAATTACTTTATTCCAATCATTTAATTAGCCGTATTATAGCCCGATATTTAGGCGATCGTTTGGTGATGTATTTACTACTCGGGCTATGAGTTGTTGATATTTATATATACAATATATATAATTAATTCTATTGAAAATAATAATAAATTTTAAAAAATAATGTTAGTACTATAAACATAGAATAAATTTATATATATATAATGTGCGTATATATAATTTATTCTATGTTTACCTGTTTAGCCAAATCTGTGTAAGTAGCTTTCTCCTCTTGTTCTAAATTAGCCCACCATTCTCCCAAAATCTTGGTAATGCTTCGATTTTCCAAATGGGGATATTTTTCACGAACCACATCTCGATGCCGTTTGCAAAAAATAAAAAATGCATTCATTGGTCGACGAACTCCACTCCCTCCACATTCCGGCTCACTTGAATCGTGTTCACTATCCAATTCCTCAAGTTCTACCTAAAAAATAACAATATACAATAGTTCAATAACTATTTCAAATATTTAGGCTATAATATGAAAAAAATATGTTCAATGTAATAATTATTCAGTAGTAACTGGTGACTATCAAACAGTATGCTTACTTAGAACCCAAAACAGTATAAAACAGATTATTTTTAGGTAATTATAATTTATTCTGTAATTTTTAGTATAATCATTTAAAATAAAAATGGTAAATAAACAATATCATATGTTTCATAAATAAAATTTCAATACAGAGATTTGCATTCATAATAAATTTAATTATAATGCAGTATGTTTAAATATTCCATTTTATTTATTTGCAAAAATTTCAACATATAACAGAAATATAAAAAAAACATCATATGTAATAAAATAATATTCAATAAAAACTATTAGTTATATTAGAGTTATTAGTTATTTTCTTCAATGCTTGGACAAGATGATAGAAGTTTTTAAATTCATGTAAATTTAATTTTAAGTATTCCAATCAAATTATAACAATAAAGAAAAAAAAATTAACTTTTAATAATTTGTTTGCTGTTCTCAACTTTCACAATGCATTTCTGAAAACAAAAACACTTCTCTTTGAAAACATAAATAAATTTTATTTATTTCAGAAAGAATTTAGCTCTCAGTCAGAAAGACTGTCTCAAAAACTGTTCAAAATTTAATAAATTACTTTTATCATGGAAAAACAATTCATTTTACATTTTGGCAATATTTCAATTAAAACTGGTTATTCTCAAAGAATAAGTAATCTGATATTTGTTATAGTTTTTTTTAGTTTGGTAAACTTTATATATAATACAGTTTCTGTCATTACTTCAGGTTTTTAAATATTTAATTGATAAGGGTGATAAATAATTCTCATTTATATATATGCTATATATTATTTATAAGAAAAATTAATTGTCAGAAGTCATTAGAAATTTTTACCATCTAGGAGGAAACATTTGAAAATCACCAGTAATCAACTTCTAATAATTCAAACTTTTATTTTAAAAAAAGTACTACCTTTAGAATTATATTCTATACACCATATTTTTGTGCATGTAACCTGTGACAATATATGCTCCATAGAAAATTACTAGAACAAAAATAAAACTTTCATATAATGACCTAATATATACCAACACTTACAGGAAAAGCCATTGCTCCATAGACACAAGTTTATGATTACAATATTTAGAATAGAAATATGGTCTGTATTCTCTTTCAAAATGCCTTTTAAATGCAAATAACTCACAGATTATAAACATGAAAAACAGTAATTGTATATTAATACAATAAGATTTACTTTAATATACAATGCATTATGTACACAATAAATGTAAAATGACAGTACACTTAAAAGTAAAAATAATAATACAAGATTCTTTTGGACATCAGCCCAATTTGGTTAATTAATTATATAGATGTAAAGTCTGTCATGATCTAGAGAAACATCTCCAGAAAAATTGTTGACAAAAATTGACTTCATTATGCAATTTATTATTTCAAGTGTTCAATAATGAGCTATGTCTGTTAAGACAAAGTAGCTGAAGCATATTCTCCATGAATTATACCCATTATGAAGCATGAAGTCTGCATACTCTAGAGAAACATCTCCAGAAAAAAATTGTTGATAAAAATTGTGTTAATAGCAACTTGAACAACAATCAATATGATCAAGGCCTCCAGAAAGAAACTGCCATAACTGAAAGAGACTATTTTGAATTTTTCAACAGAATTTAGTTTTATAGCCTTACTACAAGAAATATTGATATTGCAATGTTTAGTAATAAAAAGCATGTTTCAAATTCTAGAATTGATATTAATAGGAATTTCTATTTTACAGATCAGGAACAATTTTCTGAAATAGATTAATGTGTTACTGTTGAATTGGAAACTTTCCATTTATTAATTAAGCCTGTCAAAAATGTTGGAGGATCATTAATCAGAAGATCAATAAGAAATCACCAACAAACAACAGAACTAATGAAAACCATAATCATCTATTTTTGACAGAATGAACTGGACTGACTAAGTCATCTCTTCTTTGACTCCATGCCACTGGAGATGCACTATATTAATGAAGATTATAGAACGACCCACTAAATATTAAAGGATCACAGAAAATAATATTCTATTTTTTTTTTTAATGCAACATTTTACTCTACTACTGAGTACTGTTGTTGCATTGTAGTTTAAGAAATTGTAGCTAAGAAACTGTAATTAAATTTGTGTTAAAAACATTTAATTTAACTCTAAGGTTGAAGTTAAAATAGCTTTATCTTATCATTTAGAATAAAGAAACACTCCTTAGAAGAAGTATTGAAACATCTCAAATGCTATTCCAATAAAAAGGTCATTTTATTTATAAAATGTTTTTTGAGTCTACATGACTCAATTTCAGATACAACTTCAAACTCAATCAAATGTAAGTAATATTCTATTTAAGTTTTATTGAGTTTGGAGTTGTATCTGAAATTGAGTCAGATAGACAAAAGTGCTTTCTGCGTGAGCAAAACAAGCCAACGACACTGCAGTTACCGGCATCTATCAGGACCAGTATTCATAATGGCAATATATTAAAAATAAAATGATCAATTATAAAATCTGTTATAAAGAAAAAAGGTAAANTTCAGTATATTAATATTTTAATAAAGTAAAATAGCAGTAAAAAAAATTTTACTAAATTTAGAGATGAAACTTTACACTTTTAATTTTGACTATTAAAGTATCTTTTTTAGGTACTCTTATCTTAACTACAATAGATTAACAAATAATTATTCTGAGTGTTGTCAACTACAGATTTTTATTTAACAAATAAGAATTTAATGATGTTAAGAATCTATTCCACTTCTTTTCATATTGCAAATTAAACCAGAGGTATTGAAGAAGCATTGTCTGCTCACAGTGGCCAATACCAATGATACAAAAATAAATTAAAAGTCATTTGTTCAAACTTCAAAATGTAATTTTAAAAAACACACATGATGGCAAATATGATTTATTGAACCATCTGCAATATAATTTACAATTACATACGTCACTGTTTAAACAAGTTTGAACAATGACTTATATTCATGAAGAAGCTAAAGCTATCCCAAAACAGGACAAAAACATTCCTTTGTGGAAAATTTAGACAGTTGGCTAATTAAGCATTTAATAACAGATAATACCATGGAGCCAAAAACATATTAGGGAATATTGGATATATACACTATATATACAATTTCATGTTTCGTTGTTGAATGTACTTGTACATCGATTATTAATGCCAATGGTAAGCAGGCGATACTCAGATATACCATATTAAAGATTACAAATCATAACTTAATAAAAAATTATTGCTTTTTTCAATAAATGACTTATTAAAAAGTACTTTAGCCACCACAAAGCTGTTAAGATCATAAATGATGTCATAAATGCGAGAAAACTGAATATCTTCCTACACTTTAAACTGGTCGGCAAATCATCTTCATAACATGATCTTTGAACTTTCACCAAATAAACACTTGTCTGAACCTTAAAACTGTTTCTTTTTCATTACTACTGTACTATGGTTCTTGTCAAATGAATGAATAACTTTGGAAAAATTTATAGTTTTTTGGTACCATAACCTTAATTCCAACAATAAGACAGAAGTTTAACAACATTAATATGTATGATAATAAATAGTGATTGACTACTTAACCAAATTAATCTTCTCTAACAGATAAAGTATATTGTTCAGTTTTTACAACCTGCCCTCCTTCTCAATTCCTATTTTAAGCCAGTCTTCATTCCACTCCTGCAGTAAAATTCATCATCTGAGAGTATTTGAACCATTCTTTGTTTTCATTTTAAAATATTTTGTACATAATTAATTCTTTCAGAATATTGAAGATGGGACTTTGTCTTTTCATTATGTAGGTTAAGGACAACAGTATCTGTTATTTCAAGTGTCTGCTGTTTAGAGGTGAATATAATAGATGTCCTATTTGAAGGATCTGAGGATTGTAAAAATGTCCATTAAGCAGAGGTGATTGCTATTCAGGAGTGTCTGTTAATGGACATTTCACTATATAAGCATTTACAGAACAACAATCAATGTATGATACAATATTTTATTATTATTAGTTTGCAGTTTTCTATCATTTTTTGCACATTATCTTAAATACAAGTATTAATAAATTTTGTGAGGAATTAAAAAAATTTAAATATTTAAACAAGTCTAAGATGTCTCAATCTTTATGTAGATTATTGGTATTATATTTAATGTCTCTACATTTTATTTTCCAATGATTTATGAACTTTGTCAGTAACAAATCTATTCACACAAAGTTCCCTAAAAAGGTTGAAGGTAAGGAGCAGCTCAATGCAGGAAGCATCATAATATCCAGATGATGATAATCTAGAAATTGAGTTTTGTTTAATATTACATAATTTTTAAAAAGTTTACAGAAATTAAGTATTAAATAGAAAAGATTTTTGACATCATCTATCTTCAGTACCTCAACATCTACTATCTAGCAATTTGATTTAATTCATTTAATATATTCAGATTTGTATTTGTTATACCAAAGTGATAATTTAATATCAGGATCAATCTTTAGGACATCAAGTACCATCTAGCATATTAGTCTGTGCTATCATTAGAAGTGTTATAGGTATCAATTATTTTATTTTTTCCAATATCATTTCAATGCACAAATATTTGTCCAAGTTTAAATTCATCAATATTTGACTATAGTTTGGATGGATTCTTTGAAAGAGTAATTTGCTTTCATCTAATAATTGGGCTTATTTACAGGTTCTCAAAAATACATGTAATAAATGCATCTTTATTTTCTCTACTTTCAAGATTATCTCTCTCTTTTCTGCCTTTTATTGAAATTGTGACGTGAAGAGAAAATAAATGTTGAATATCCTGATACTCCCTCCAGAAACTTTTTGTCTCCTTAGCTTCTTCATTTAAAATGAAACAATCACAGTCATATGTAAGTTGTGAAAATATCATTTGATAACTT